GATCAGCAATAATATATACTAACATGGCCGCCACATTTGTATGTGTATGCAGACGACGATCAGCAGGCAGAGTATGAGGCATGTGAGCAGGGCCTGGCACGTCTCGCTGAGCGCACCATCACGATCATCGACCCCGCCTGCAGCCATCTGTTCCTGTCTCTGTCTGCAGAGCTATATGATGGAGCATTGCGTGAGTGTCTGCAGATCTAATGCCACGCGCTTGAATATCAATGGTCGAATGTACGAGTGATGATATAATGGGTTTTTATTATTTGCTGTGTAGCGCGAACGAAATCCTCGATTTAGCATCTTTTGTGCATCGTTCAGATTGTTTTGTTGTGCAATGTTCAGATTGTTTTGTTGTGCGTTGTTTAGGCTGTTTCATTGTGCATTGTTTCGGCTGTCTCGTTGTGCGTTGTTCAGGTTTTTGCATTAATCCCGTTACAGGCAGTTCAACAAATAGTGCCAATTTATCGTTCAATTGATTGTTAACGACGTTTGTTTAATAGTGTTAGAGCATTTATGTTTCGTACATACCTCTATTTCTTGCAACACTGTTTGACATGCTGCATCGCTCGTTGCAACACGGTATCACCCGGCGGGCTTCGAAAACGTTAGCAGCGATTATGTTGGCATTGTTTTTTAACTTCATGCACCTCAAGGATACGTAGCTGAGTCATGGTGACTCTTTTCCAGCATGCGACTGCGACCCCCTTGGCTCTGTGCCAGGGTCAACCTGCAACCCGATTGGTGGCAGCTGCAGCTGCAAGCCGGGTGTGTTCGGCCAGCAATGTGACCGCTGTGAGCCCGGCTACTTCAACATGACCGCCAGAGGCTGCAGCCCATGCAGCTGCATTGACCTCGGTGCTCAGTCGCTCGTCTGCGACTATGTGACGGGTCAGTGTGTGTGCCGACCGGGCGTCTCTCTCTCCGGACAAGAGAACACGCTCGGCTTGCCCATGGATAAGACCTGCCGTTCCTGCCTCGTGGGCTATTACGGATATAACACAGGAGAAGGGTGTCAGGTATTCATTGCTGTACACTATAGGACATTTCTGTACAATATAGAACATGATATACACACATATATATATATTTGTTTATTTATTTTTTTATTTAGAGTTATTGCTAACCTTATTCGTAACCATAAATCATATATCTGAATTCGTCATCTTTACAAGCTGCTGTGTCAAGAAACTATGTCACAGAAAAGTACAGACCATGCATGATTTCCTTCTAGTTTAAAATTACGAATGCGGATTTGAAGATTGTGAATTGTGGGTGAACATACTTATTGGGAGAGTAAGTCATATAAGAATGCATGTGTGGCTGCAGATCTTGATAACCTATCAATTGTGTTTCAATTATTGGTTGTTGTAGGAATGTTCGTGTGATGAAGGAGGCAGTGAATCACAGCAGTGCAATGAAGATGGCTGCATTTGCAAACCCACTATAGGGGGCGCCCGGTGCGATCAATGCCAAGATGGCTACTATAATTACTCGCCGCTAGGATGCATGGCCTGTAATTGCAGTATAGCGGGGTTTGTCTTCATTCGTATTTCTGGAATTTTGTATTTAGTATAGATATTTACGAATAGGATACTAGATAATTACTAGATAATTGGAGCAAGAACTGAGTGAAAGCAAGAGTGTATGTAATTATGTAATTGTATGTTATATAATATTAATCACTCTCAGGAGAAACTGTATCATGTTTTATAACTAATAATAATATATACCTCACTCCTTTCCTTTTCCCCTTTCTTCCTCCCATTTTCCTTCCTCAATTTGTTTCTCTTTGTCTTCCTTGTATAATAACTCTGTGTATCACTATTAAGGTCGTTGAATGAGACTTGCGATGCATTCACGGGAACGTGTTACTGCAAAGCGAACACAGAGGGGGTGCAGTGTGATAGCTGTGTACCTCGAAGCTTTAACCTGCACGAGGCAAACCCGCAGGGATGTCAGGACTGCTTCTGCTACGGACATGGTGGCAACTGCAGCTCTGCAGAAGGCTTCTATGGCAGTAGCATAGTGGTGCGTTGTCACATGTTTATGTTACTCATCTTGCTATATTTCTTTTTCTTCTTCTTCTTCTGATCCTTCTTCTCCATCGTCATTTTATTTCTTTTATTTTCATTGTTGTTAAAGCTTTAAACTGAAAATATTTTTATTATGTCAAAAGCTCTATGATAAAAGCATGTTTAGCGTGCAGTTTAATTACTGCTGATGCTGTCGAAAACAGATGTGGCAACCGTATCAATACTGTAGGTATTTTTATTCACTCCTGATTGTATGATGCTGCGCTAACATAAACAAACGTCTAAAACCATGCAGTGAATTTAGAATTTTGCCGTGAAATCGCTTAAAGCATTTGCCTGGCTATGTCTGACATGCAGGCTTCCTCCACGAGACTGTGGGAGATCGCACACGTGAATGGCAGTCCCTACTTGAAAGCACCGCCAGAATTTCTCAACGATCAGTCGGCGTCCTACATGCAGTACCTGTCGTTTGAACTACGGTCGCGCCGCCAGCCGGTGTGGCTGCCTAATGCTACGCTAGTCATCCTAGAGAGCAGTGAAGATACCCTGCTCTACCAGCGAACAGACCTGAACATATCCGACGACAGCTTTACTGAATTCAATGTTAGTCACGTTATTCTATGATTAAGCCGATGCAGGAGAAATGACCAATTCATGTATGACCCAAATCATGTATGAAGTTATCGTGTTAAGAATCTCAATTATTGTGTCATTGCGGTTGACATGTGCTGTTGACATGTTGACATTGTCATGTGGGAATAGTTAGCTATGTATGGGTACAGTTAGCTATGCATGGATACAGTTAGCTATGTGTGGGTGCAGTTAGCTCTGTGTGGGTGCAGTTAGCTCTGTGTGGGTGCAATAGGTGCTACATGAAAAGTCTGAAAGTAACATTCCTGGTACATATTTACGTAGCGGTGCGATAATTGAAGAGAGTAATTAGCCGTGTAACTCTGTATCAGTATAGCGTCTTCCTCCTCTCTCTCCCTTCTCTCTCCTACTTCGACGACGGACAGATTTTGCTGCACGAGAGTGAATTCGTGACTGTTGTGGGTGATCAGCCAAGCAGCTTTCAGATGCACCAGCTGCTATCCGACCTGCAGGCTCTCTACATAGCTATGCAGCTTCTAAATGAAACCTCGGATGTCGTCGATGTCTCACTGGACACAGGAGTTCAGGTATGCAGGGGCGGATCTAGTGAGGGTCCCGAGGATCCGAACCCGCCTTTAATTTCAAAGTGCCCTAAAAAATTAAAAGATAATTTTCTGCTAAAAATTTGGAATTCCATCTTGCATTCTAGACATCAAAATTACTGCTCAGATGCTCCCAGAATGCACTAATTTTTACAAATTTTCTTGGGGGAGGGCCCCCAAACTCTCCCTAAGTGGCGACGTGTCGGCAGCTTATTAAAACACCAGAAAAATTAAGCAGGAAAAGTGCCCTTTATTTCTTCCTGGACACCCCCTTTTCAAAAATCCTGGATCTGCCCCTGGGTATGTGCCATGTACAGTGTAGTTATATCGTAGAATGTCATACTATGGAAGCATGTTGTGGCACATCTACACTGATATGGTAGTTTAGGTATATATATGTTCACTGTAGGCCTGGTACAGAGCTTCCTTTATGTGACAGTATGTTGTGAGATGTCACAGCAAGACCATGTGACATCGTTTCGAACATGCTCAGCTAATATAATATTATTTTAACGTTATATATTAACGTTTATTTATTAACGTTATATATTAATTATCAAGACTTCATAATAGATAATCTTTATTATGAGCTCTTGATATTATGTAAATGCTAAAACTTAAGTGGTTGAATGCATTTCTGGCATTGACATAATTGTTCCTAATTTAGATAAGAGGGGAGACCAATCAAGTACCAGTGTTTGCCCTGGCTGGTGTGCAGTAAAACGTTTATATCAAGGATTCTTGTTAGAAGATGTTAGATTCAGGCATAGTTCCCTCCTTTTAAAACCCTCCAAAACTTCACAACTTTGTGCGGCCCTTAGATCGAGCTTATGCCCCTATGGTAGTGTGGAAAGTAGAATGCTATACCGATGTTTTGCTGCTTTGATGTTGACCTTGCGCCTTTTATGTGACCCCTGTCACAGCAAGTTTCCCATTGTTGAACGTACAGGTAAACGAGACCCAGCCAGAGAACAATCGCGTGATGTCAGTGGAAAATTGCACATGTCTGGACGACCATTACGTGGATGGGCCTCAGTGCATGCAATGCATGCTGGGACACATGCGAGCAGTGGGCAACGGCACAGTGTATGACGTGTGCCTCGCATGCAATTGTTCAGGTATGTAGCGGTTGGGGTGTGGTGGCTGTGGGTCTGGTTTAGATGGCTGTGATCGGGGGGGAGGGGTGTATGTCAGGGTTGATCGGGGTCGTTGGATATCATGTCAGGGTGGGGTGGTGTGCAATCGCGGTGGAGTGGTGTGGGTGGTGTCAGGATTGGGTTGTTGGGCTTAAGGTTGGGGTTATTGAAGATTAGGGTAGGTCGGTGGGTGGGTTATCAGAGTGTGATGGGTGGAGGTCTGGCTGGGGTAGATGTGGTCAGGGTTGGAGTGGGGTTAGGTTGGTTGAATGAGTTTTAAGGGTGAAGTGCCTAGGTTGGGGAGTCGCAGTCGCAGGATGAATGGTTAAGGTTGGTGCGTAAGTGGTCTAGTGGGGGTAGTTGGTTCTAGGTGTCATAGATAATGCGAAGGAAACGTTTTGTTGTGTAGGAAATGGTTTTGGGATTTTTGATTATACTAGTTTTTATTATAGTATAGATTTAGTAGTTGAAATAGAAGTGAATAGAATGAAATAGTCCACAACAGTACAGGCTAGAACATAACGTAACGTAACATAACATAACAACAGAACAGAATAGGACAGAAACAATGGAGCAGAACGAAACAGAACAGAATGCAGTAGAATAGAATTTTAGACTAACTAGAAGTGGTAAGTAGCAAAGCATATGGTACGTGTTTGGTGTGCCAATACCTGTTTCTTGCTATGCAGGCAACACTCTTGGAGACCAGCCTGAGTGCAATGACACAACAGGAGAGTGTTTGAACTGCCGCAATGGCACAGTGGGCTTCCACTGTGAGCAATGTGCGCCACATGTTAACGAACCCTTCTGCACAGAGTGTGAGCGTGGCTACTTCGGACTCAGCAAAGAGGGATGTCAAGGTCGGTTCAACGAGTTATCTTGCTCTGTCTGTCTGTCTGTCTGTCTTTCTGTCTGTTTGTTCGTCTGTCTGTCTGTCTGTCTGTCTGTCTGTCTGTTTGTTTGTCTGTCTGTCTGTCTGTTTGTTTGTCTGTCTGTCCGTTCCTCCGTCCGTCCATCCGTCCATCTCTGTCGTGTCTGTCTGTCTGTCTGCTTTTCACTCTTTCTCGCTCATGCTGCTATCTCCCTCACTCCCCTCCCTCTTCTTCTTTCCAGTCCCACTTTTCTTTGGTGACAACTCTAAAGTAGAATTATCTCATGTTTGACAAAGGCTTGAGTGATACAGCGTGTCCGTGTTTTATACGCTGTTATTGCTTGATGTGTCACGTGTCCCGTGTATATACCGTTATTGTTTTGATGTGTCCACGTGTCCGTGTTATATACTGGTTATTGCTTGATGTGTCACGTGTCCCATGTATAGTCCTAGTTATTTGCTTGACTGTGTCACGTGTCCATGTATAGTACCTTTATTGCTTGATGTGTCACGTGTTCGTGATATACCTGGTTATTGCTGATGTGTTCACGTGTTCGTGTATATACCTGGTTATTGCTTGATGTGTCACATGTCCATGTGATATACTGGTTATTGCTTGTATTGCCACGTGTCCATGTTATACCTGTTAGTTGCTTGATAGTGTTCCACGGTGTTTCGGTGTTTATGACGCTGGTTATGCTTGATGTGTCACGTGTCCATGTATATACCTGTATTTGCTTGAGTGTGTCACGTGCAATGGTATATTACCTGGTTATTGCTTGATTGTGTCACGGTCCATGTATTACCTGGTTTGTTGTCTTGATGTGGTCACGTGTCCGTGTATATACCTGTTTATTGCTTTGATGGTGTCACGTGCCATCTGTATTATCAACCTGGTTATTGCTTGATGTGTCACGTGGTTCATGGTATATATCTGTTATTGGCTTGATGTGTCCACTGTCAGTGTATATACGCGTGGCTTACTTAGCTTGATGTGTTACGTTGTCCATGTTATACCTGGTTATTGCGTGATGTGTCACGTGTCTCCGTGTATATACCCTGGTTATTTCTTGAGTGTGCTCACGTGTCATGTATATACCTGGTTATGTGCTTGATGTGTCACGTGTCCGTGTATTACTGGTTATTGTTGATGTGTCCACGTGGTCCATGTATATACTGATTATTGCTTTTGATTGTGTTACGTGTCCGTGTTTAAGCCTGGTTATTGCTTGATGTGTCACGGTGTCCATGTATATGACCTGGTTATTGCTTGAATGTGTCACGTGTCCATAGTATATAACTGGCTTATTGGCTTGATGTGTCACGTGTTTCGTAGTATATACCTGGTTTATTTGCTTTGATGTGTCACGTGTCCATGTAATATATCTGGTTATTGCTTGATGTGTCACGACAGCTGTTGTATACCTGTATGGCTTGAGTGTCCATGTCCGTGTATATACCTGGTTATTCCTATGAGTGTCACGTGTCCGTGTAATATACCTGGTTCTATGCTTGATGTGTCACGTTGTTCGGTGTTGTATACCATGGTTATTGCTTTGATGTGTCACGTGTCTATGTATATACTGATTATGCCTTGATGTGTCAGGTGTTCCGTGGTTATTACCTGGTGTAATTGCTTGATGTGTCACAGTTCCGTGTAGTATACACTGGTTAATGCTTGATGTGATCACGTTGTCGTGTATATACCTGGTTATTGCTTGCTGTTCACTGTGTCCATGGTATATACCTCGGTTATTGCTTGTGTGTCACGTGTTCGTGTTTATATCTGGTTATTGCTTGATGTGTCAACGTGTCCAGTTTATACCTGGTTATCTGGCTTGATGTGTCACGTGTCCATTGTATATACCTGGTTAATTTGCTTTATGGTCACGTGTCCGTGTATATACCTGGTTATTGGCCTTGATGTGGTCACTGTTCCGGTAATACGCTGGTATTGCTTGATGTTGTCACACGTGTCCGTGTTTATACTGGTTATTGGCTTGATGTGTCACGTGTCATGTATAATACCGCTGGTTATTGCTTGATGTGCTCACGGTGTCCGTGTTTATACCTGGCTTATTGCTTGATGGTGTCCACGTGTCCCATGGTATCATACTGGTTGTGCTTGATGTGCATGTGTCCGTGATATACCTGGTTATTGGCTTGAGTGTCATGTGTCACGTGTATATACGTGGTTATTGCTTGATGTGTCCACGTGTCCATCGTATATGACCTGTATTGCTTGATGGTCATGTGTCCGTGTATATAGCCTGTGTTATGTGCTTTGATGTGTCACGATGTCCATGTATATAACTGGTTATTTCTCACGTTCGCAGCCTGCCCTGATTGTGATTCCGGTTTTGTTGCTGAGGACATTGGCGTACTCAGCCACCGGCAGTGTTCCATGGCATGGGAACGTGGGTGGACTCAAGTGCGACACTCGCAAACTCAACTACGAAGTCTTCTCTGATCAAAGGCTGCACCGCGTGAGTCACTCGGCCCTTGGATCATCCTACTTCATCCTCGTCATCTCCAGTATCCATGGGCCAGGCAGCTAATATTATAGATTCCAGAATTAGCTTAAATTTGAGTATGACATGCAAATGCATGCTGTGAAGGTTGAGTAGTTTTACAGATGGGTCGACTGATGGAATGTTGCATTCCATGATTTGAGAGTTGGCAAATGCGAATAGGGATATTCCCGTGGGTGGAATGGGGAACGTGTTAGCTAGCTTTTGTGAGAAGGTAACGAAAGAGTTGTTTATTAGTCAGTTAAACTGGCAATATACAGCGGTCTATGCGTGTGTGCCTGCATTGTATATCATCTGTGTGTGCGTGGCGTGCGTGCGTGCGTGCGGTGCGTGGCGTGCGTGCGTGGCGTGCGTGCGTGCGTGTGCGTGCGTGTGGTGTGTGTGCGTGTGCGTGTGTGCGTGGCATCGTGTGTGTGTGTATGCATGCGTTGCGGTGCGTGCGTGCATGCGTCATGCGTGGTGTATGTGATGCGTGCGGTGGCGTGTGTCGTGCGTGCAATGCAATGATGTGTGTGTGTGTGTGTGTGTGTGTATGTGTGTAGGATGCGTGCCGTGGCGCGCGTGCGTCGTTCGCGTGTGTGTGGTGTGTGCGTGCGTGCGTGCTGTTTATGCGGTGTGGGCTTGTGTGTGGTGTGTGCGTGCGTGCGCTGGCGTGCGTGCGTGGCGTCGTGCGTGCGCTGCGTGCGTGCGTGCGTGCGTGTGGGGGCGTACAGTCCTTGCGTGCGTGCGTGGCGTGCGTGCGTGATGTGTGCTGTGCTTGGGCATTGTGTATGTGTGTATGCGTGCGTGTGTGCGTGGCGTGCGTGCGTGCGTGGCGTTGCGTGGTGCGTGCGTGCGTGTGTGTATTATTATATTAACCACTGTCATATAGTGGTTGTAGCGTGTGTGCGCGGCCTGCCGTTGCGTGCTGTGCGTGCGTCGTCGTGCGTGCGGTCGCGTGCGCGCGTGTGTTCGTGTGTGTGATGTACTACATTAACAGCTGTAACTGGTGTAGCGGTGTGTGGGCCTGCCGTGCGTGCGTGCGTGCGTGTGTGTGTGTGTATGTACTACATTAACACTGTATATGGTTGTAGCCTGTGTGCGGGCCTGCGTGCGTGCGTGCGTGGTGTGCGTGGTGCGTGCGTGCGTGCAGTGTGTATGTGTATGTACTAACAGTTAAGTGTGTGTGTGTGTGTGTGTGTATGTATGTACTACATCAACACTGTTGTAGCGTGCGATGAGTGCTACGGTAACCTGCTGACAGAGGTGATGGAGTTGGCAGCGATGAGCGACAACCTGACCACTGTGGTGCAGAGCCTCTACAACCACAGCCTCGTGTCCGACCTGCCGCGGTTCAGGTCACGCATGCGTGACGCCGGTAACACGATCACACTGCTCGTGAGAAACGTGAGTGTCACACGTGTGACTAGAGCTGCCAGGGTCTATGTCTCCCTGGGTACTGCCGAAACGTACCCTGGGTACGGTCCGGTATACCGGAACGTACCCTGGTACTATCTAATATGTTGGACCGTACCTCGTGTACTCCACTAATGAGTCTAGGGAGTCGCCTACACCTACTCCCTAACCCTAACCCTAACCCTAACCCTAACCCTAACCATATCAGATAGTTACCAGGGTACGTTCCGGCAGTACCCAGGGAGACATAGACCCTCTCAGTCTGACTAGAGTGAGCATGTCTAGCAGGGTAAAAAATACACGGGAGCGATGAACGATTCGCTCTTCAAACCTCCGAAATTGTTCTTGTGAGGCTCAAAATAGCTCCCGTAAAAAAAATGTACGAGAGCTATTTTCCCCCACAGACTTGAAAAAGACCTCCCATGAAAAAAACTGATTTTCCCACTGATGTCTAGTGTGATAACGTGGATGTTTTTAGGGAGTTGGTGCGAGTTTTCTAACGACGTACCGTTAGCCGTTATCTTGTGCAAAGCTGTGAGTGTTTTATAGATACGATTAGTTTTTTAGTTACATGGTGTGAATTTTCTAGTGTGATACTGTTAGTGTTTTATAGGTACAGTTATAGTTTTCTAGTTACAAACTGTGAGCTTTTGAGTGTGATATCGGTAATTTTGCTAGTAAAATACTATGAACTTTTTAGTGAGATAGTGTAAATGTGAGCTTTTTATAAATACTGTGACTTTTCCCGGAGATAAGGTGATCTTTCGATTACTTTCGCTGACTGTGGTGGTATAGTGACTGTCAGAATTGTTGACAGAGAGGACGCACATATGCAAATATGATTGTCTTGTTTAGCCTTGATGATTTATACTAGCCTAGTATGGTATGGTATGGTATCCTCTAACATTGGTGTTCTATTCATGAAATCCTTATACGCTTGAACCCTAACCTTAAAAACATGTTAGTCAAAATAAGATTGTGAGGTTTCTTGTTGCAGTTGAGGAATGCAGAGTCGGTGAATGACGAAGTATTCTCTACTGTGCTGGAGCTTAATGACACACTAGAGGAGCTGACTGAAGCCATGCTTGAACAAGTGCCTGTAAGTACTTAGCATGAAATATGCTGATTGTAGTGTATAACCCTGAGGTTCGTTTGGTAGTTTGCTCAAACATGCACTGTAGCGCATTGCACGCTCTCTGGCGAATAAACTAGAATGGCAGTCTGAGCAGAATTTATTGTCTGGGTATTAATCTGGTTAAAGTCTACACTGACGAATCTGTCGTGCCCTACATGTGCAAAATCATATCAAATATATGCTGAATGCCGACGCCAACGTGTTCAATGTAGATACACTTGTGCTGTGTACATTTTCCTTAGCTTTGATACCCAACATTACTTGTCATGTTAAAATACTGTTTCATATGTTAGTTACTGGATGAGATCAATGGGACATTGGTGGTCATGGAGAATGTAACAGGGCAGGCCATGGACATGATGTCTGAAACCAACACCACACTCTACAAGGTGTTCCAGTTGCTTAGAGGTTTGTTGTCAGTTTGTTATCTTAGATTGTGTACGTCATAGAGATGAAAGGGAAATGATCTGCTAGTGGCAGACAGTGGTGCACGCTGCTCATTGCACCATTTGCATAAAGTGCCATACACAAAGCTGTCACCACATCAACTGAATCTGCTTCCCGACCCAACATTGATGTGTATCATGACTGTATATTTATCTAACTTGTGCTAATTTCTTAAACTGATCTTCTTAAGTCTGTACTAGCCTGTAGTGCCTCTCTCTGCCAGACTTGTTTTACTTGGTATATATAATATTATATGCTGGTCCCAACCAATTAGGTTCTGCCATCGTGCTGCTATGAACATGGCCACCAGGGCTGATCTTTAATATTTTGCATTACTTAGGCTCCATTATTCAGCTGGATACGCGCATACAAAATCTTGTTAACGACCTGCATGACAAAGAACATCTGGTGTTGCTTCTAGCGAGGTAAATCTTCTCCTTCTCTTAGCAACATGGTTAATGTTCCTTCCACTGGGAAGATAATAAGCTTTCTGCCTGGTAAGGTGTAATATGTCACCATCCTTCGGCAAGGTATTTATCTCTTGTGTTGTTTATATAATTGGATCTTCTCCTGGCAGATAAACCACCCCTTCCCCACAATGAGTTTTTTTTACCTCCTTATCATTTACAGCAACGTTTATTCAGAGTAATAAGAAATCTGTGCTATACATATATATATATATATATATAGTGGATCAGGAGTGTATCAATAATCAATTGATAATCAATCAATAATCAATCAATAATCAATCAATAATCAATTGATACACTCCTGATATATATATATATATATATATATATATATATATATATGTGCCACAACCAAGCAGTGGTGATGTTTTCTTATCTGCATAGTGAACTGCATGACGTGTCCTGAAAAGGCTTTAAATTGCACCCTTCAAAGATGCATCACTAAGTGTTCAGTAGAGTCACGGTTACTAATAGCTGTGTGATATGTGACAGGGACACGATAACCAAGCTGAATGGTCTGGCGAATGTGACACAACTACTGCAGAACCAAACTATGCAGGCTGCTCAGCTCATAGAGTCTGGTGCCCAAGTGAGCTTCTAAACATACTCGAATCATTACAGTTGCCGATCCAGAGGTTCTGTCGTTATTTACCTCAGTCTTACCTCACCGCGAGTTCATATATTTTTATGATTAATCCATGTATTTGACTTGTTGGCCACAGTTTCGGCCACTGGTATAGTTGTCTCTGTAAATATATTACTACTTTGTATTGTTAGGAATTTAAATGAACTAATTCCATGATTCAATTTTAACTTGTTTGAACGTTAGCATTCAAAACTTTGTAACGTTGAATACGGAATAAACAGAGAATAAAGATTTCTCTCGATGATCCTGAGCGTGAGCCCATCACTACATGCCACGTAGCACGAGCACCTAGCTCAGCCAAGCCTTCCTGTTGCGTGTGAGGTTAGCTATGTATATTCTCTTAACTGTAACAGCTGCTTAAGAGTACTCAAGAAAAGCAGCGCAACAACACTCTACAAGTGGAGGATCTGCAGAAACTCTTAGAGCAACTTCGCGACCTCAATAGGACGCTATACGAAGCAGCAACGCGTACGCGTGTGGACACGAACACTGTCAGGGCGACCGTACGTATACCGTGTCTCAGATTCAAAAACTCAAAATGTCATTGACCATGTCTCGAATTCACAATTTATGTGATTTATATGAGGCCATCTCCGCATGATCGTTTCCATCTCGTGACATATACTTTACCTAGTAATTGGCGAGTTTCTCAGTGCGTTTATATCACTTGCATGTGTAAAACAATCGTAATTGTAATCATAGATAACCTCTTCTCTTCTTGAGCAGTGAATGTCATGATGAGATTGTATGTGAGCATGTTGCTCGATGTTGCAGATCGATGTGATATTTAGCAAAGTGTTAAGCACGGAGATTAGCCAAGACAGCCACTCTGCTCTCGTTAACGATGCAATTAGACTCAAACAGGCTGCACAGACATTGCTCCAGAAGGTATACACTAATAAAAATTTATTTATATATTATAATTATTAATTCTATTATGGAGTTTTTGTGTTCCGTTTTTAATGGTCATCTCAGTAAAGGTAATTTCTTTATGTAGTGTTATCTGATTCGTGTATTGTTACACGGTATCATATTCTCTCATGTTTAATTCATTAAATTAATTGAATATGAATTAAATCATATTTGTAAAACTATGATCTTGTTGTTGTAGAGTGTCATGCAAACAACAAAAGCTCACCTTCTGTCGACTGAAGTACGGACAGCACAAGGAGAAACGAGCCGATTTCAAGACTTTGTCTCCTTAGTGCAGGTCTGTTAATTACCATCACACAATTATGGTTACTATTGCTGTTGTTGGTTAATATATATGTTGTTGTTGTTGGTGCTCTTGTTGTTGATGTTGCTGCTGCTGCATTGTGGTGCTGCTGTTACTGTTGATGGTAGTGATGATGATGATGACGACGACGACGACGATAATGATAATGATGGTGGTGGGGGTGATGACGACAACGATGATGACAATAATGATGTTGTTATTGGTTGTTGTTGTTTTTGACGGCGATGATGATGATGATATTGATGCTTTTGTTGGTGTCGATCGCATCGACACTGTCAGAACATGAAAATCCTCTGTGTGACATATAACCGACTAACACACGACCATGCATGTATATAATGTGTACATTGCAGGTGCAATCTAGCACAGGACCATGCGTGTATATAATGTGTACATTGCAGGTGCAATCTAGCACAGGACCATGCGTGTATATAATGTGTACATTGCAGGTGTAATCTAGCACAGGACCATGCGTGTATATAATGTGTACATTGCAGGTGCAATCTAGCACAGGAC